CCTCCGCCTCCTGGGTTCAGGCAATTCTCCTGCCTCAGCCCCCTGAGTAGCTGGGATTACAGGCACGTGCCACCATGCCCAGCTGATTTTTTGTATTTTTAGTAGAGATGGGGTTTCACCATGTTGACCAGGATGGTCTCGATCTCTTGACCTCGTGATCCACCCGCCTCGGCCTCCCAAAGTGCTGGGATTACAGGCGTGAGCCACCGCACCCAGCACATTAAAGTTTTAATGCTGGCCAGGTGCAGTGGCTCACGTCTGTAATCCCAGCACTTTGGGAGGCTGAGGTGAGCAGATCACTTGAGGTCAGGGGTTTGAGACTTGCCTGGGCAACATGGTGAAACCCTGTCACTACAAAAAGTACAAAAATTAGCCAGGTGTGGTGGTGCACGCCTGTAATCCCAGCCTTACTTGGGAGGCTGAGGCAGGAGACTTGCTTGAACCTGGGAGGTAGAAGTTGCAGTGAGCAGAGATCGTGCCACTGCACTCCAGCCTGGGCGACCCAGCGAGACTCCCTCTCAAAACAAAACAAAACAAAGCAAAAAATAAAGTTTTAATGTCAAATGACTGAGTTGGAGTTTTTTAAGTGTGAAGTCAGGTTGATGGATAATATCCCCCTGACCCCACTAAAACATTTTCACCGTAATCTCAGAACCTGTGAATACATACCTTACCTGGCAAAAGGGACTTTGCAGATATGATAGAGGTTAAGGACATTGAGATGGATCGATTATCCTAGATTGTCACGGTGGGCCCAGCCTAATCACCTGAATCTTTAAAAGTGGGAAAGGAAGGCGGTCAAATGGGTCACAGAGATGAGGAAGGAAGAGGACAGATTTGAAGTGTGAGAGGAGTTCAGCCTGCCATTGCTGGCTTTGAAAATGGAGGAAGGGGAAAAGCAGTCAAGAAATGAATTTGGCTGCTAGAAGCTAGGACTTCTAATGAAAGCTCAGCTGTCAGCTATCAAGGAAACGGGGCTCACAGTCTTACAGCTTTAAGGAATTGAATTGTTAACAACCCAAATGAGCACGGAAATGGATCTTCCTCTAGAGCATCCAGAAAGAAACACGGCCCTGCCAACGCCTTGATTTTAGCACTTTGAGACCCTGTTGGACTTCTGACCTATAGAGCAGTAAGATAATACATTTGTGTTGTTTAAGATACTAAATTTGTGGTAATTTGTTGTGGCACCAATAGAAAACTAGTGCACGGGTCTGGAGGCGGTGGCCGTTTTGTTTTCTTGGCTGAAACTGGGGAAGTGAGGCGGGCCGGCGCGGCGCTACACCGGGTTCCAGACCCACTGCACGACGCGGCTGCACTGACCTGAGAAAACGGTCTGGATTTCTAGAGGGCTTGAGATGCTCAAAATGCATTGATGCAGGGCCGGGGGAGGGGGTGAGGGGGAGCGGGGGAGAGGGTGAGGGGGAGAAGGGGAGCAGGGGAGAGGGTGAGGGTGAGGGGGAGGAGGGGAGGGGAGAAGGGCAATATTTTTGCTTCCATTGCTGCTGGTGTACTATTTTTTACAGGCTGGGGGATTATCATAGATGCAGCTGTTATTTATTCCCCCATGGACGATTTTAACCACTCATACCATGCCTGTGGTGTTAAAGAAACCATAGCCTTCCTAATAATTAATGCAGTATTGAATGGACAAGTCCCAGGTGATAGTTAACAGTGAAGGTTGTCTGGGTCAAACAGGTGCTGGTATTTGGCTGTTTATTGGTTTCATGTTGGCTTTTGGATCTCTGATTGCATCTATGTGGATTATTTTTGGAGGTTATGTTGCTAAAGAAAAAGTTGTGGTATCCCCTGGAATTGCTGTTATTTATCCAGAATGCCTTCATCTTTTTTGGAGGACTGGTTTAAGTTTGGTGGCACTGAAGACTTATGAGAACATCTGATTTCCTGCAGCACAACTGCCCTGCATGGTTTTTGTTTTTTTTTTTGTTTTGTTTTTTAACTGCTCACTCCCAATCTTTAGTAATGCCGTTTTTGAAGCTTATTTCTGAGTGTAGTCTCAACTTAAGGTTGCATAATACTAAAATCACAACACCACCCTGTTTAAACAACAACCAAAAATTTTTTGTGGTGTGCACTTGATTAACTTATAAAATGTTAAAGGAAACTTTCACATGAATAATTTTTGTCAAATTGTATCATGGTATAATTTGTAAAAAATAAAAAGAAATTACAAAAGAAAAAAAAAGGAAACAAATGCACGTGTGTACAACTAATAGTATTCACAAAAAGAGATGGCTGGTCCAAGAACCTCAGTCACCGAGAACCCAGCAGTAAAATATAAAACAACAAAGCAAATATTCTGTGAGTAATATTTTTTGACAACTCTTTAAATAAATCAGTCTAGATCTTTTAAGCAGGAAAGAATCGAATGCAGAACATTGGATATTCACAAAATTGTTGGAAGGGCTAAAGGAGCTGGTATGAAGTGCCCGTGGGAAAAACTCCCAGAACAGGGTGGAATTGACAACTTCAAATAAAAGACATGTTTAAATATACACATAACTCAGCCAATGATGACTTGCAGAAAAGTTTGAATTATGAGCTTGGTTTAATCTAGAGGCTGAAGAATGAGATGGAGGATTTCTTAAAGTTAAATAAATAAAATCCAGTGATTGTGTTATGGTTAAGAATCAAAGTTGTTTTTTGTTTTTGTTGTTAAAATAGATTTTTCAGAAGAGTGGAGGCTGGTGTTTTATCACAGAGTTTTATGAAGAAAAAACATATTATTTTTAATAAAAAAAATTTTCAACAAATAGGCTGCTGCTGCTTTTTTTTTTTTTTTTTTCGAGATGGAATCTCACTCTGTTACCTAAACTGGAATGCAGTGGTGTGATCTCTGCTCACTGCAACCTCTTCCTCCCTGGTTCAAGCAATTCTCCTGCCTCAGCCTCCTGAGTAGCTGGGATTACAGGCTCATGCCTCCATGCCTGGCTGATTTTTGTATTTTTAGTAGAGATGGAGTTTGACCATATTGGTCAGGCTGGTCTCGAACTCCTTACCTCGTGATCCACCCGACTTAGCCTCCCAAAGTGCTGGGATTATAGGCGTGAGCCACTGCGACTGGCAAAACAGGCTTCTTCTAAAAATAAATAACCTAATCACCTCTTAAAGGTTTCACTTCATAATGATACTGTTAAAATGGCAATTATGCTTCCAACACATGAACTTCTAAGGGACACATTCAAACCATAGCAGTACCCAATACTTTAATAATGTATAGAAACACAGAAGGCTCCTAAAGTGGCTTTTGGAGAAAATTTGAGTGATAATTACCAAATCAACGTATTCTTTACTTTTTAATTTTATTTTAAAAAATTGTTTTTTGAGATGGAGTCTTGCTCTGTTGCCCAGACTGGAATATACTGCTGCAATCTTGGCTCACTGCAACCTCCCCCTCCCAGGTTCAAGCAATTCTCATGCTTCAGCCTCCTGAGTAGCTGGGATTACAGGCACCCGCTGCCACACCTGGCTAGTTTTTAAATTTTATTTTTAATAGAGATAAGGTTTTACCATGTTGGCCAGGCTTTTTACCATGTTTGACCTCAGGTTATTCAGCTCCCCAAAATGCTAGAATTATAGGCGTTAGCCTGGCCCCAACATATTGTTTAGATGATTATGTGTGTGTACATATATTCTATCTTAAAAATAATAAGGTATTTTATTATATATACTGTTTTATGGGTGTATATACATATACATACACATAGATATATATATACATGAAGCATTCATTATTTTTAGCTAACAAAACAATTGTAATGGCCAACTTCTCCAGCATTTGTTGGTATGATAGGAACTGCTGTTCCATCATCCTGAGAGTAGCTTGTTCAGATCTTTGTGACTATCTAAAACCTATAAGATGGTGGAGCAGAGAAAGAATCCCAAGAATTGGGAAATAAGCTCTAACATTTCTCCCCTAGACATGTCCAAGAGAACCAGAATATCACAGCACAGGACATCAGTAGCTTGATGTCTTTTACTACGAATATACCTTTAAAAATAGTTTATGGTCAACGTCATATATTTCAGGATCTTCCTGGGGCACAAAAATTGGCCTGTTGCCACCAATCTCACATGCCACATCAGCTGCCAAATGACATTGCCCTCAAAGCACACCCTCTCCCACCATTTCACAATATTGTAACCATTATAGTCATTCTAAAAGAATTTAAAATTTCATTTCGTCTATAAAAGCTTTCTAGCTTCTCTTAGAAGAAAGCCCAACCTTTTATGCATGACTTGCCATGTTTAGTGCTCTAATTTCAATAATTTTATTCTTCATACTTCAACTATATGTTCAGTCATCCCTCAGTAAGTCATCCCTCAGTATATGTTGGGTATTGGTTCTCAGACATCTGCACATACCAGAATCTGTGTATACTCCATTCCTGCAGTCAGCCATACATGCGTCAGAAACTCATGTGTATGAAAAGTTGGCCCTCTGTATATGAGGGTTTTATATCCAGTGAAAACTGTATTTTCAGTCTGTCTGGGTGAAAAAAATTCATGTACAATCAGACCGACACTGTTCAAGGCTATGGTGTTAAAGGGCCAACTAGACTCAATTTTCAGTTCACTGAAGTCACAGTGTGCTGTCCTGTCTCAGGACCTATGCATATGCTGTTCTCTACCTGAAATACTTACGCCTTTTGGTTGCTTACCTAAATCCAAATCAGTTTTTTGTTTTCACTGTTACTACCTTCTGAGGTTTTTCCCTGACCCAGTCAAAATTGTATTTAGGTGTTGTTATTAGTTGTTCCAGTGACATTCTGTTCTCTGTTACAATAGTCTTCATACTTTTATTTGGTTTGAGAATCTTCACCTCTATATTGAAGGCTCTCCAATGGTAGGGACTATGTCTATTTATAAAAATAGTTCTGTATTCCTTTCATCTAGCGTACTTTCTGTTACTTATAATATGGTTAATAAATATTTGCTGAGCAAATTAATGAATTTTCGGCATGTTCATGTACAATCCTAGAACCCAGGGACCAAGAAGTGGGCACTTCTTGGTTCCCAGAGGATTTTTTTCTCTACTTTTCTTTATTTTGTTTGATTAAACTTCTTATTTTGAAATAATTTAAAGACTCACAGAAAAGTTGCAAATGTGATCAACCCTGGAAAATATTTCAGGGAAGTGTGGTAGAAGGTAACTGCTAAGAGATTGTTTAACTTGGCAGTGGTGGTGGTAATCATAATCAGCTTTCTAGAAAATAGTTTCAGAAGAGAGGTATGGGTGGAAGTCAGATTGCAGTACAATTTCAGGAAGTTTGATGTTTAACAGAGAGTGAGCAATGATAGCTCAATCAGTTGATCCATTGATAGATCATAATTACATGACAGCAGCTGGGTGCATTGGCTCATGCCTGTAATCCCAGCATTTTGGGATGCTGAAGCAGATGGATCACCTGAGGCCAGGAGTTCAAGACCAGCGTGGCCAACATGGCAAAACCCCATCTATACAAAAAATACAAAAAATTAGCTGGGTGTGGTGGCACGTGTCTGTAATCCCAGCTACATAGGAGGCTGAGGCAAGAGAATTGCTTGAACCCAGGAGGTGGAGGTTGCAGTGAGCTGAGATTGTGCCATCACAAGTCCAGCCTGGGCAACAGAGTGAGACTCTGTCTCAAATAATAATAATAATAATAATAACAACAACAACAACAACATACAACCCCCAGAAAATTTTTATACACTAAATAAAAAATAATAATAATAACAGCAACAACATGACAGCAATGCATGGTCAAAGAAAGATTTTTAGAAGGGGAAAAAGTTCATTATAGATCAAAGGGAATGTTCCAGTAGAGTGGGAGATATGCAGAAGTTATGACTGATGGAATGAGACTCCTGAGGATATGGGCAAAGATGGAACCAAGGACCTAGTGGAGGGAATAACCATAGGGAAGAGAATATATTTTAAACTGATACTAAAGGAAAGAGTTTGTGATATGAATGAGAAATTTCAGGTGAAGAGAAAGAGCGTGGGGGAACTCATGTTTAATGCCTCAGTCTTAGTAAAGTGTTAGGTAAGGAGATCAGTTTTGCTGACACAAAGGACCGTCTTACCCATTAGAAGGATATGTGTGTATCTTACCTGCTGTTATGTGGTATCCAGATAGAAAATTTATTTTGTAAATATATTTTTCTTACTTTTTAGGGATATTTCTTTTCTGTATAATGTTACATATGCCAAAGGACAGACTAAGGAGAAAGCAGTTTGTCCCCCGCATTTGGCCCCTTCATTGCAGTCACACGATGGTGTCATGGTACCCCATAAGGTAAATAAAGTATTTGACAAATAATCTTTTCTCCCAATATATTTTTAAAACTTATGTCTCCAAAATATAAAACAATATCATACTATAACAACCTGCATTGCTCACCAATCTTAATAGCATTTTCGAATTATTTCTTAAAACGGGAAAAGGGTATTTAGCAGGAAAAGATGAAAATACCTTCTTTTAAGCCATTTTCCAAACGACAGTTAATCTGTTTTAATCTGAAAAACACAGTGTGGGAGATTTGATTGTTTTCCCCCCAGAAATGCACAGATGAAGTTGTAGGATTCTTATCTTTTGTATCTTGCTAAGTTGAATTTTAAATTCTCTGCTTAATTTAAAGGAAAATAATCAATAAACTTCTGAATATGTGGGATACATGTAACTAATACTAGAACCAAGGTTATTCTTTAATTCATGGTTATTTTAGAAATGTGTGCTCTGCTTAGTTTTTGTCATTTGCTATAATCAGCATTACTGAAAATATTGTTATTCCTCTAGTCAAAATTTCTTAACTTAAAAAATTGTATCTCTTTGGGTTAGGAATTAGGACTTGTGCAAGTGAATTTTTTAATCTATTAATGTATTCATTCTTTTCTTTTGCTTTGCTTTGCTTTTAAGCCAAAGAGACTAACAGATACTTTGATTCCTGAAGAATTTCATATTGTGTCAAGTACAGGAGTTTCAGGTTTGGAGTATTATGATGAGTGAGTACCATGATATGTAAAGAATACCTAGCTGGGCACGGTGACTTACACCTGTAATTCCAGCACTTTGGGAGACCGAGGTGGCCAGATCATCTGAGGTCAGGAGTTCAAGACCAGCCTGGCCAACATGGTGAAACCCTGTCTCTACTAAGAATACAAAAAAATTAGCCGGGCATAGTGACAGGTGCCTGTAATCCCAGCTACTAGGGAGACTGAGGCAGGAGAATCACTTGAACCCGGGAGACAGAGGTTGCAGAGATCCAAGGTCCGCCATTGCATTCCAGCCTGGACAACAAGAGCAAAACTCCATCTCAAAAAAAAGAATACCTGACAAGTTGAACTTTTTGCTCCTTCCCATGCATAGAAGAACCTGAGAATAGTATACTCATATTCTTAAGCAATATATGAACTGAAATGAGGAAACATTAAGCCAGCCATCCTAATACAATTAAGAAAGATACAAATTAAGTACTTAAAAGAGTTTGGGATGTTAGCGATTAAAAAATTATTCATTTTTTTTCCTGCCGTTTGATTTTGAACTTCTTAAAAAATGGGACTTTGTTTTGAACATATGACTATGCCCTTTAGGAATGATTTTGAGCAATGATCATAGAGACAAAGGAAAGTAGCCCTTGAGGGTGCATCTCATAATGCACACTCCAGGGCTTGGCTCCGCATCACAGACTACTCATCTTGTCACCTTTGATTTCTAGTTATGGGATTGAAAATGGGATCTTGCTTTTATTTTCTGAAACAACACTTGAATGATTTATAGTTTAGAAAACTAGAACTTTGGACTAAGGTTTTATAACAAAATATGCAGAGGCTGTCACTCTTTTGATATTGTCTTTCCAATATGTATGTTATATTGCATTTCATTGTGATGGTATGTTTCAGAACAATATTTTGCCCAAGAGAATTAAATGGAATTCATTTTTTGGTAACCTTTTATTTTTATGTAACTTCAGACATAAAAAGTTGCAAAAATGGGAAAAGGAATGCCTATACACCCTCTATCTTGAGTCACTGGCTGTTTATACTTTGTCTCATTTGCTCTTATACACATATAAGCATGCATATACATGCACATATTTTCAAACTATTTAAGAGTAAGTAATCAAATTCTTCTACCACCAAATACTTTAGTATGTATTTCCTAACAACTCATTAGTTATAGATCTTTTGATGATTTTTTGTTTGTTTGTTTTTGAGGTGAAGTCTCACTTTGTCACCCAGGCTGAAGTGAAGTGGCATGATCCCTGCTCACTGCAACCTCTGCCCCTTGGGTTGAAGCAATTCTGTTGACTCAGCCTCTTGAGAAGTTGGGACTACAGGTGCCTGGCTAATTTTTGTATTTATACTAGAGATGGGATTTTGCCCTGTTGGCTAGGCTGGTCTCAAACTCCTGACCTCAGGTGATCCACCCACCTCGGCCTCCCAAAGTGCTGGGATTACAGGCATGAGCCACTGTGCCAGGCCTTGATGAATTTCATAAATTTCTTCTGTATGTTCATCATTTCTTCTGTCAATTTGTTAGTTGTCATTTTATCATATGGAATGATGGATTTCTATTTTATTTGATGGATTTTAATTCTTTACTATCATTTTTTATTTTATTTTATTTAAAAAAATTTTTTTAGTGTTTTTTTTTTGAGACAGGGTCTTGTTCTGTTGCCCAGGCTGGAGTGCAGTGGCATGATCTTGGCTTACTGCAACCTCAGCCTCCTAGGTTCACGCAATTCTCCTGCCTCAGCCTCCCGAGTAGCTGGGATTACAGGCGCCCATCACCACGCCCGGCTAATTCTTTGTATTTTTAGTAGGGACAGGGTTTCACCATGTTGGCCAGGCTGGTTTCGAACTCCTGACTGCAAGTGATCCTCCTGCCTCACCCTCCCAAAATGTTAGGATTACAGGTGTGAGCCACTGTGCCTAGCCCATTAGTTTGAGGGTCAGATTTTTCCAGATTTGGCCAATGGCCAAAGGTGGCTCCTTCGAGCAGTCTCTTGTGTTCTTTGGACATGTCCTTATGATTATTTGAACACCTGTTTTCTGACTTGATAAGGCTTCCAGATTCATCTTGTATTTTCCAACTCCAGCCCTGGAATGAATGGTGGGTCACTTCTCCAAGGGGTTCTGATTCCTTTTAGTGGAGGATAGTACTTAGAAACCAAGATTCTGGGGGTTAGTTGTGCTAATTGATGAACAGGCCAGAAAATTTTCTTAAAATAACATTTACCTATCTTATTTATTGTAGCAAATACACCACTCTCCTCACAGATAGTGAAAACAGACTCTTGCTCTTCCCATCCATGTAAGTACAGTTTATTTTCTAAAGTGTTTCTCAGAAAGAATAAGTATATACATATATATTTCTTGGTATTTTGTTAAACAGAATTATTAAAATTACAGCAGAAACCCAATATAATAATTTCCTACAATTTCATCATCTAATCAGTGTTTTCATTTTTCCAATTGTATGTTCAATGTTTATGTATTTTATTTGTCTAATTCCATATTCAATTTTACATATTTACATATATAGCATAATATTTAAATGCTATAAAGTACTTTTATATTCTGTGTTTAACCAGTAGTATTTCTTCATTTTGCTATAGTTTTTTTTTTCCTTTTCTTTGTCCCTTTTCTTCTCTCATGTTGTGAAGTAACTAGTGTTAAAAGTTTAAGGCTTATTTCCTCATATTCTTTATTTTTTAATGTTCTTACACTCCTATGTGATAGTATATAGAATTTCGGGGTTGGAAGCATTATTTTCTTTTATGAAAAAGAGAATCATACTATTTGGATTTTCTTGCTTACTTCTACTATATTACTGATCTCCCAATAGATTAATAGATATAGGTCTAATGCTTAAAATGCTGTTAATATCCTAGAGGGCATACATATTCTCTTTACACATATTATATTCTTTTGCCATTTGAGAATTACCTGTTGCAATGTTAATTATGTAAGTCTGCCACTTTAATTTTTTAGGAAACCTAATAAAAGAGTAGAAGTGGCCAAGCTGAATGATGTGATGGATACTATGCTAGAGAGGGCTGGTGTGGAAAGTCAGGAATATACAGGACCAACCAAGGTAATCGCAAAGATGAATGCAACCTGGTGGCCAAGAGCATGCCCTCTGGAGGCTGACTGCCTGGGTTAGAATTCTGACTCTGCCATGTGTTAGCTGGTGGCCTTGGACAAGTCATTTAATGAATTTGTACCTCAGTTTCCTCATTTGAACATTGGAGATAATAATTTCTACCTCATAGGGTTTTTGTGGAGATGAAATGACTTAATAAATGTAAAGGGTTTAGAAGAGCTCCCGGCATGTGGTAGATACTGTATAATTAATTGTTAGTATTGTTATTCCACCAAACATAAGGTATCATTGATTGTAAGACCCAGCCACCGCTTGTAATTATTATTTTCTACTTAAGAAAGAATTCTTTTAGTCTTATATAGAGACTTTTTTTCTTTGTCAGGGCTGTTTCTTTTTTGTTTTTTATATTTTATTTGTGTAGAATTTAAAACTTGAAGATAAACTTCAATACAAGACACTGCTATGCAACCTTTACCTAGATTCTCCATCCAGTTATTTATATTGTGCCCTATTTGCTTTATGATTCTCTCTCCTTCTCTGTCTATGTATGCATCGTTTCGTTCTGAGCCATTTTAGAGTGAGTTAGAGACATGCCTCATGAGCACCCAGATATTTTGGGATATATTTCCTATAAACAACGACATTCTCTTATATATCCATAATATAGTTATCAGGAAATTTAATGTTGACATGATAATATTTAACATAGACCACATTTAAATTTTATATTTTATCAATTTTCTCTATAAATGGCTTTTAAAAATAGCTATTTTTTCTTCCTAGTCCAGAATTCGAGGATCACACAGTTCTTTTAGTTGTCATGTTTCTTTCTCTTTCTTTCTCTCTCT